CCCTCCTAACAATCGATGGAAATGACAATTCATCTGAATTTTTTGTCAGTTATTCTCACGTTGATTACCTGAACGTGTGTACCTCATTTATAGATGCTTTATTAAAACAAAATTGTCTATGCCACTTCCATATCTTCCACTGTTTTACAAAAGTCAGATAATACTACAGCCAAGTAACTTCATCTCCTTACCTCTTAATCAGCTGGATGACACACCTAACCTGCTTTCTTTCTGTATGCGTTAGTTTATATAATAGGTTCTGCATTGTCAGATCTATGCCGAAACTATTGTTTTCAGTAGTAGTCTGATTTGTCCCTGTGATAAGCCCTGTGGAGATGTGATTATTCCAATAAAAATTCATTCAGTTGGAAACCAACCCTCCAGCTGTTTACTCCCACAGTCCCCAAGCTACACTAACACTGTATGAAATCCTTCAACAATATTTAACGTGGAATCAAAAGCATCTTTAAAACATTTTACGTTGGGTTCTATAACATTGCATAACCTTAACAATAGATTTCTAGCATCCATGAGGGAACACTTTACAGTTGGACAAATTTGAGCCTTGACTGCTATGGTTCGTCTTTGTGGAAAGCTATCAGAACTCTCTAGTACCTAAAGAACACATCTGACAGTAAGATTTCAAGTGTTCATGTGTGCACTCTCTATATTGCATATAACAAAAGGTATGCAACTCCCAAAGTTTCTCGAAAAGAAAATGCGTCTGAGAAAAACTATATACTGCCATGCTAAAGCCAGCGCTGGCATGTATAATGTATGTATCAGTTTGCAATTGTAGCTGCTTCAATGTTCGGCAGCACAGAGACACTGTAAATCTATTACATATGTTCTTTACCAGGATAAAGAGAGTTTTGCTTTTTAAGGAAGAGCTATGCTCTTCGCTTTATTTATTTTAATGTTCTAGGCTTGAAAAGCAAATAATTTGCACTCGCGCTCTTTTCTGTTTTGAATATTGTTGGTGTTTTCACTCTTTGGCAGGTCCAGTTGCCCTAAGCACACCAGCTCAGCTTGTGGCACCCTCAGTAGTAATGAAAGGCACTCTTTCCATCACTCTTTCTGAGCTCTACTTTGAGGTGGATGAAGAAGATCCCAGTTTTAAGAAAATCGACCCAAAGGTAAGAGATCATTGACCCTGAGCTCTGAGAAATGATGACAAATTACCCAAGAGCTTTAATTCTTCATTCGACTTCCTTTACCTCTATTGGTCGGCAGTGTTCCTGCTTCAATAAGTTTGTGACTGACCATATATGTTACTGAACTTCACGTAGGTGACACCTCCTTTCCTTCTCCTTTTTCTCCCCCTCCCACAATTCGACCCTACTTGAATGTTAATTAGCTTGCTGCGAATAAAGCTCCAGGGAGGCATCTGAAATAAAGACATCTTGAATCACAGGCCTGTGTGAATACTGGAAAGTTCAATGAGGCTTTTAGCCCAAACGCTTTGTTTTACTTTCCTATTTTTATATAGTGCCAGTGTAACATAGTGCTAAACTTCCTACACTCGTAAGTTTTCAGCGCTTCTGTGTCGTATTATTCTATAACAGATTTTACAGGGCCTGTTATTATTTATTGTGCCTAAGCAGAAAACATAATTGCCCTCTTAAAATACGTTTCTGAACTGACTTGCTAATTTCCACAAACTTTATTTGCTCCGAGTTACTTGGTTGCTAGTGTTTTGTTTAAAATTGGTAACCTTCAGTAAAATTCCTATTTCAAAGGCAGTATATTGTGCCATTAGCTTAATAAGGTTGTACTTGCATGTTTTCTACAGTATCACAGCAACATTTCAAAAGTATGACATGATTGGTAAATATTCGTGCATTCCAATTTAAGCACAGCGATGGCTCTTGGTTTTTTTAAAGATCTGCTTAACATTAAACAAGGTAATAATTTCTTTGTGAAGGGGGAAAAAGTCACTGGAAGAAGTAGTGGTTTTCTGCTTGTCTGTAGAGAATACCTTGTGTGTTAAGCACCAGTTCAGTTCTTTGTTCCTATTGACTAAATTGCTCGTCTGTATTAAAAATGGCATCAATGGGTCTGAAAACTGGGATTATCAAATCCTATCAAGGAATAAATTTATTTTGAAAAACAATGCTCTCAAATTCTTAGGACTAGAATTTAATATAAGCAATTAACTAAAACTGTGATTTTTATTGCAATACCAAAATGAGACTTAACTTTTCTTTTGGTCCTGAAGTATTTTTGAAATATTTCTGAAATTATTTCAAGTCTGAGATAGCTCTTAAAATCTTGATATGCTTACTCCTTTCATAGTGTGGTTTGGTTTTTTTTTTAAATTTAATGGTAAAAAGGATATAAATATAAAATGTAAAGACAGTTTGGTATGTTACTGTATTGCATTTTCCATCTAAAATGTTCTGCTTTGTATTGCATTAGCAACAGGAAAGTCTCAGAGATCTGCATTATTCTGCATTCTTGTTTTCCATGTTTAGCACATAGGGTGTTTGAGCACAGTTACTAATTCTTACCGTTCCTGTTACGTGTTTTATGGGGACATTGCCATACAACATATATTCAGCTTGCTTTCTTTTCTCCTGTTTTCGAGTATTTGGTAGTGGTTGTTTTCTTAACTGTGAGTAGGCATTCTGGTTTGATTTGACTGTCTCTTTAATCCTGTATCTGAGAGATTTTATTTGGGTTCCTATAAGAGGAGGAGTTGGTTACATGAAATACAGGCTACACCTCTTACGTTCTACTTGTGATGCTACTTTAGCTGGAGGTCTTAAAAGAAAAAAAAAAAACAACTTTTGTACTGTCTCTTGTGAGGTGGGGGGGGCTAAAAATAAAATCTGAATATTTTTATTTTAGAAAGCAACTGAGCTTACAACGCATCTTTCCTTCAAGCATTAACGCCTCCCTGCCCCACCCTCTGCTTAAGTTACTGTACCTTGACAGCGGTGACTAGAGCTGCTGTAGAAAATGCCCCTTGGAAAAAAAATGCTAATCCGCCGTAGCTCAGAAGGCCTGTTTAATTAATGAGGCTTCATCTGTTTGATAAATTTAAGTTCCTTGTGTATTTGTCTAAACTACCGCAAAGAAAACATTGTGACAAGCTGCTGAAGAAAAACCTGCCGTGGAGATAGCATCAGCAGCGATAAGATCGGAGTTTACGCTCTTACCCCGGGCTGTTTTCAGAAGGAAAGGGTAGCCCCGCGGGCTAAACCCATTTTGCCAGGTGAGCCAGGATCAGCGCTGGGGAAAGCGCTCCGATGACTCTACGGGCAACTTGCGAAACGCAGGCGGGCTGTCGCGCCCGGGGCCGAAGAGGCTGGCGACGAAGCAGCCCGGCTTTCTCTGGCGGGGGCCGGGGCCGGCGGTGGCCGCCTGGCGCGGGGG